TGTGCTTTGGTTTCCTCGCTGTCCGCTACTCGCTCTATATTAACCCTCCGGCGTCTGATCCCAAGCCAGATTGAGAGGTGGCAGAATTGTCGTTGCATATTTCCGGCAAAATAGTGTATTTGAGAGGTCTTCGACAGAGGGAGGCAGAGGCACAGCAGACAATTTCTTAACTTTTTGTCCATTCTGCTTTTATTGTTCCTTTCGCTTTCACCCGACACCCACTGCTTTTCTTATCCGTAGTTCCATTAATTTCTGCAGCTCCTTGTTGTGTTGACAAAAAAAATAGACTGAGACATTGACCGGTGTATATTTGTGAGGTCTATGCATTGGGTTTGAAAAAAGTCGAATTCCTTCTTTTTCTTTGTCCTTCTTTTGGGTGATTTAGGGAAAAGTAGGAATGCTTACGTTGTTTTTGTCTAAGATAGCTATGCATGTACTAGTAGTTTTCATGTGTATCAACCTCGATTTAATATTTTGTAGAGTTACTTTATATTTTTGCTTCTTTTATATAGTGGGTTTGTAAACTCTGTTAAAGCCTCTCTGCGCTTCACCTCCTTAGTGCTGATTTTTGGTTGTGCCATCAATCCACGCAACCTGTCAATGTCAATGTGTGACTCAACTGTTAATTCTCTTTATAGAATATCTTCGATCTACAATTTTGCTTCCTTCTTTTTAAAATACTGAGCACTCTGTGGCATTTTTGGTTCTCTCCTTATCACACTTTTTCATACTTCTTTTCAACAAAGATTTATTAATAATTATTAATATAGCAAAGTTTGCTCTTTTAAGTTTATTTATAAATTCTTCAATTTAATTTATGTAATTTGATTGCTCCGTTTTTGTGCCTAACATATAGTCTAGCAATTGTCTATTTATATTTTTTCATCCCCCACTCCTCACGCCTTCCTCACGAACATGGGCCACCAATCATTAGATTTGAATCATAACGCGTTTCCACATTTCTACAATTTATTTGAAATTTGAAACTCTCAAGGATTAGGAGAAAATTCATATAATTTAAAATTTTTCCATAAAATACATATCATTGAGGTGCACATCGTTCTGGTTCTATTCGATTAAGCCCTGAAACTTCTCTACTCTTTCATTTCCTCTCACCTCTTCAGATGAGAAGCAAGAAAATCTTAACCGATGCTTCCTGGGTGGATGCATCTTCTAGCTAACTATCTAGTTATTACGATATCTTCAATAGATTACCTTTCAGAACACCTACTTATTTCATGGCTAAATAGGGAGGGTAGATTCTATTTGAATCACATTACGAGACTGTTTAAAAACGTTCCTATAGTTGTCTTAAACGGTTCTCTTACATGACTTGCATCGTTCTAATAGCATAAAGACTCATCTTTAATTCATAATACTTAATTTATTCTGCGAGTGGCAAATTAACCAATTTTTAACTAATTTTAATCCTGTTAAAACAGATTGTAAACTTTTTTTTGATTAATATAAAAATCGACTTTTCTTTTTCAAATCGGGATAGACAGTGAACCTTGGATCATAAGTTCGCTTATACTCTATATAGTGTTTAAGTAGTCTCGTTCGTCAATTGCATTCTTATCCACTTCATCTGGAGAAAACAAGTTGTGACAGGATGAGCCAGGGAAAATATTATAAGGTAGTCTTTTATAATGCTCGGGAGGAGGCGCAAATCGTTAATTTCTTTTGGGCGGTATTCTATATTAATACTGGGTGAACAGGGTAAGATGTTGAGGAAGGAAAAACTCAAATTAAGTTTTTCTCTCTAAAGGAGAAATCTCTGTTACCCATATAAATATCCATGTTTCTTATCATTCCACAATGAAGAAAAATGAATTGGCAGAATCAATTATTTTTTGGGGGATATCAAGATTTTTGGGGTAGTCAAATATGGGTAGAGAGGAATGAAGTTTTATTAGGTAAAATTCAGAAGTTACTTCCTGTCATATCCAATCAGGCTTAATATATATGATGTTTATTGTTCATATATCCTTATTTCTAATTCCTTTTATAAACACTCGCATAAAAGAATTAAATAAACACTATTAAATCACGTCACTCGTAAATCGAGCTGGTATATTAGGTATTGATAGGCTTTATAATTTTATTGCTTTGCTTTACAATAAAGTAATTTAAATCGTCATTGACAAAATGAAATATCTCAACACGCGTAACAGGTCAGGATTATGTTTAAGGGTCAAAAATTATGGAAACATCTTGGAAATTTCAGGTAACTAATGCATCTGTGAATATAGAGCACGAAACAAAAGTTATACTCATAAGTGAGGATGAAGAAAGTATAAAGCTTATGAATTTAGGAGCAGTCTTTTTAATCTCAAACTTTGTGAGGATTTTTTCAACAAAAATGGTTGAAAATCAAATTTCAAATTCTTTTAGATGCGGGCCAAGCATAACATTAGTAATCACTTATCATTTGGGTTTCAAGTAGGGTAAAATACTTACTTATGGCTACTCTCGTGAGACAGTGATCTGGGGGGATAGAGATAGGTTATTTAACATTTTATGTCAAAGGTTTAAGTTATGTTGTGTATATAAGATAGAGGCTCTCTGGTTTAAGTTTGAGATCATCTATATCATATAATACTATCTAGTTTTGTGCCGCAAAAAACACATAATCTTTTGTTTGAATCATAGTGATCATAAGAGCGATTAAATTTATATTTGAGGTTTTTCGACCACTCTTAAAATTCTTTCTTTTCTTTTCAAAAGGCACATCTTCGCAATACCAAATATTTAATTATCCCTTTCTTTTACCTGCAACTTTCGCTCTTTTCTCTCTTAATAAATGGCTATCCAGATTTGCTCATTGTGGTTTAATTTATTTGTTCTTATTTTTAATATATTTTTGTGTAATTGCATACTGAGCTATCTTCTTTGGGGGTAAAATATATGAATTTATTTGTAAATATTTTTTTCTGTATTTTTGTAAACACAGGGTTCTGTGTTCACCCTGTAGCAGGTGGTAATAGGCAATCTTTAACTTTACTTTCTTCAGACAAACGACGCAGTTAGTTCGTAATACAATAACAAGCCGAAGTAGACTTGGAGGTAAGCTCATGAATTGGTAGGGCTACAATATGCTGCACCAGAACAATAGCTGTCTTTACTCGATTTGATAATATAATCAAGTTATATTGTGTGTGCGAGCCGATATAGCTTGTATAGCAGATGTTACTCTCACGCAATAATAATAGTGTTAAGAATTGGTCAGTTGAATTGGTTTGTTCTGGTAATATTTTTACACTAAAGATATAGGACAGAAGTGCGGCGTCATGTTAGCAATGAAATGCGACTTACACACCTGGTCAAATAATACTCGGGGTGGGAGTCTAGATTACATTGGGATAATATTCTGTGGATGTTGATAATTTGTGGCATAAACTTCAATATGATTTTACTCGCTTTGTTTCTACAAAACCAAGAAAGTGCATACACAGTCCACCAGAGCAAGCGATAAAAGTAAGACAGATAAAATAACTAAGAAGAAAAAGACTATTTTCTTTCTACTATAGATATCCAAAACTTGAGGTGTAAGAGTGATTATTATACTACTATCAGACTTCCATAGAAAGATATTCAGCTAAAGCAAACTCACCTTCTCTTGGCAACAATTGAAGCAATTTAATGACTCATATATCTCTCATCTATAAGTTTATCAACTTAGTAAAAAATTATGTAGCTTCACAGACAAAATAACCTGGTTTGGATTATGTTTGAATAAAGTTCCATTATATTGTTGCATCATATCGGGTCAATAATATTTCAATACTCTGTCTTATAAAGCAAACTGCGTCTTGACATACAAAAGAGAGTTCATTGTAAATGTTTATACTTAGCTAATTTAAAAAGTATAATGGTATTATAACACTCATTTAAACTTTACTGATTTTCACTCTCTTTGAGCCTTTTGGCAGATCAGACAATTTACATTTCAACGGGCATACATTATAGATAAATTAATGTGAAGATAGAGTATTTTGAAAACCCTTATTAGAAGATTATATTTTATTCAATCAGAACAACTAATTAATAGTGTAATCATAAGATCATCCTGCTAATACAAATTGTTCCTAATTATAAAATAAAAACAATTGTTCACTAATTACCATAATGCTTTCTTTAAAATAAGTTTAATTAGAACTGATTGTATAAAAAAGCTACAATAATAAACAAACAACCACCAAATGACAGAAGAAATTATATTTCAATGTTCAGAAATGCAAACCCGCCATTCCATAATTATAGAAAAAAGAACAGACAATAAATGTTATTGTTGAATGGTCTTCATTTTAATCATTTTTTAAATATGGAATAAATACATTAGAATGACTAGAGGAGAAAATCATTATAAACAAGACACAAGAATTTAATAACAGAAGTCAATGAAAGTACATTTTTCTAGCACAAAGCAATCTACAACTGAGCAATCTTTGATATGTTTATTTCTACACTTAAAGTAATCCCTTTTTATTTTGACATTTCCAGTTATCATATCTCCATTTATTAATATTGCAAAACATACCTTCACCCAAGTAAAAAATATTTTGACAATTAAATAAAATTTAGTTTGCAATGAAATTGTATGATTTTAGATTAATAACAATCAAAAAACTTTATTACTTTTAATGTAAATTTGTGATTATATTCACATTAAAACATTCAAACTTTTCCGCAATTTATTCCATTTTTTTTTTGCCTCCATTTTACTCTTCTCATTTTCATCAAATAGTTAACAATATAATTCACTTATATTTTATGTTCACTAATTGATAATGAACATTACAATTTGCAAAACTTTTGCATTACAATTCCTGGATAACAAGCAAATTTAAATGTCCAAAAACAATTTAGGTTAAATATTAAATTTAATAACTGTAAAAAATTGTTATAGGTTAATACAGAGCAAAGAAATAATTAAATTAATAATAAGTTTGCCAATATACATTACAAGTATTTCCTTCAAGTGGACAATTGTTACTAATATGAATTACTTATTTACAATGAACAGATTTGTTGTAACTTGTTCTGTTTTTTTTGTGTGGTTGTTGTTGTTGTTGGTTATCAAGATGTATCACTGAGGGTATTATAATCTATCTCTTTGTAGTAGTATTTATTGTATATTTTGTAGTTTTGAATCCTACTTTACCCTTTAATAGGGTAACATGATTTATTGTTTTTGTTTATTCTTCAATACAAGTGGAGGGAAAAGTTTCTTCAACCTGTTCCTATTATTAGTGTTAATGATTAATAATCTACAATAAAAGAATATCATGAACGAAGAAATTACATATTCAATACCTATTTTTGTACGAGTATTGCTGTATAAGCTAGTAAATGAATACGTACAGTATCAGTACACTTTATTGGATTCTTATCAAGAATTGCACTGCACATAAACTTGTAATTACAGTATTATTGTTATAAACAGCTTTAATCTATGTTGTAACAACATTACCCATTAAGCTTTAACTCAATTTCTATTCATGTATTTAGACATTTTAGGTGAGCTCATTGCCAAAGAATACCTTCAATTGAGTAAATTCTTCTCTAATTGTCATAGGGCAAAACCACAGTTTGTAGAAATTAAATTTTCTGAATGATATTCTCCTGACAAACCACTTACCATCACATTCACATATTTCCATACATATCACTGTTTTAAGCATCATCAGAAAGAGTAAAGATCACAAAAGACTAAGTGTTTTTCTTCCCTTTATGTACAGTTTTTTGGGAACTTGAGATGTTTGATTGTAAAAGAAAAATGCTTGGATGCAATAATTATGTATAAACTGTAAATAGCAATCAGTAAATTCTGTCAAAGTAATTCCAGTAGAAAAAAGTACCTACCTCTACTTCCATAGTCTTCATTCATGCTTATTAATAGTTTTAGTCTATTAGACCACCATTTATTTCATTACGTTTGTAATGAAAGAATACTGTATAATTGTTTTGTGTAATTTCGAGCAAATTGTAAATTCACAGATTTTGCTGCTAGTAAGTTGCACCAACAGCCATACTTGTTGTTAGCCGAAGTAAGGAGAGTTTCTTCGATAGGTTTTTCATTTTCCTTGGAGGTTCTTGGAGATGCTTAAAAAAACCGGTGGTTTTAAATATTCCAACTGAGCCACACAGACCAACACACAACAACTGAAGACCTCCAAGATCAGGAAACAAGCTCTGAAATTAAACATTACACATTTAGCACAAAACTGGAAATATATTGTGACAGTTACAAATGTTCAAATGAAAGTATGAAATCTTATTACAATTGTAGACATAAAGTTGGAATTAAATGTTAGTAGACATTGTATAGTGGGTAAATAGAAAATTTATTATAAATTAACATTGTATATAACAAAGAATACTACATGATGCAAGTTTCATCATGGGAACAACATTACGATATATTAGGGAAGTAGTCACCAGCAACTACTATTAACTTTCCAACAGGAATGTAATTGGAGTTATCCTGTTATACATGTCAGAATGAATAATTTAAGGGCTGGAGGGTGCCAAGGTGAATGACTGGGTTGGAAGGCGGTCAAAGTTAAATGGTGGCAAGAGAGAAACATATATTGGTACATTATGTTAAATTGATTTCTGTGATGAACTACTTAGCAAGTTTTCTTGTTATTAAACACAGTCTATTTAAACTTTTTTTTTTATTCAAGTTGATCCCGCATTAATATACACTATTTTAGAAAGCAATCAGTAAGGTTACATTGTGTGCATGCGGAACTAGTGCTCTCACAAAAAACAGCCAGAGCACGGCCAGCTTGGAAAAAAGCCACAAGCAAAGAGCATCTCCATTCTTTGCTCCCTCTGCAAGAAGCTTGCAAAGACCAGCAAAATGTGACTTGTCAAAATCAGAATAGCAATGTTCAAAGTTCATCCCTGTTCAAAAGAAAATGATTTATTTTACATACATTATGGTTTCTCAAAAGGAAATATTTTGAAAGACAAACTTCAAACCAAATCTAAACTTTTTTGTTGCGAAGTCAAAAATATTTAACCTACCGTTCTTTAACTCTGAAATGTTCTTTAATAGCTTTCCACACATAGTCAGTATTGTAAGGTGCTTTCACAAAATTAATCAGCATCATCAAAATATATCTTCACAGCTTTTGAGAAATCCACCAAGCTGTAAAAAAAGATCTATTATATTAATAGCCACCAATCTTTTATCTGAAAATGTCACTAATGTGAATTAGTCACAAAAAGTTTCAATAATTTAATTGAAAATAACAAAGGAAGTTGTAAATAAATAATTTAAAAAAATCAGTTTAATAGTGTTGTGCGGGAACAATGAAAATCTGAAAGAATTGGTATTTTTGGATTTCCAGTGAACCGAAAAAAATAAAAAACAAAAAAAAAAAAACTCTTTGACAGAAAATGTGTACCTTTTAAAAAAACCCGAAAGTTTTCCTTGACCCAAACGAAGGTTAAAATAAATATTATTAAAACACATCACAACTAATCTAAAGCCATGTTCTAAGACTCGTTGAATGATCTTTAAATGTTTAACATACTTATATCTCCTCAGTAGTCCTAAGTACAAGTTATTATTTGTCTAATTTCAATGTTCTATGTCATTTACAAAAAACATATTAAAAACATTTTATCCTTGTTATTCAAATCCATTCTAGGTAAAGCTATTTTTTTATGCAATTCTTGGTGAAAAAACAGAGTTCATTCTCTAGTTAAATTATAGTTAATTTTCTCTCAAGGGTACAAGGCTAAATAGATCATTATGTTCAAGTTAGTTTATTATTCACAAGTGCAGTAGTGTGAATGTATAATTAATAAAGGCACATAAGGGTCTTTAAGACATGTGTAATAAATGTTTATCTTATCTAATAATTTTTTCACATTTTGACATATTTTTGAACTCTTATTATGATTCAAGCTATATAATTGACTATATGACATATTGTATTATTTTGACTTTGCCAGCACCCTTTATTACACAGATATGAGCAATTTCATCTATTACAGGAGGCTTATTATATTGAATATATAATGATTAGTTTAATCTACTCAGAACATTAAAGTAAACAGTGTATCTACATGATTGGATAAGTTAAAAAAAATTAATCCATGTCTAAAACTTTGTTTAGATTTTTCTTTAACACTGATTTATTTACGTAGCAGTAATGAATTAGATGAAGTATGGTGTATTTTGTTCTCTAGAAAGGAATTTAGCAGACAGGCCCTTCAACTCCTTTCATTGCTCTAAAACTTTCTAATCATTAATAAAATATCTTGTACATGTTCCATACATTACTAATTATTAAGACCAAAATAATTTTGTTTTGACTTTCTACTCATCTGACAATTGTAGGACTTAAGTCTTGATAATATGGATTCTTTTATTATTCAGGTTAGATACTTTAAGACTAATACAATTTCATTAATAAAGGCAATTGTCTATTGTAGTTGGATTTCTTGTCCTCTTCACTATTTGTCACTGTCACATGATTTGCTTTCTTTCACACAAATACTTTCTATGCAAGTGCTCTCTCACATGTTTAAATTATTCCAATGGTAGGAAAATTCGACAATCCAGGGTGACAAATTAAAATGAATGTCATTACAAATGAAGGAACAAAAGCTTCACCAGTCACGTCACTTCTGGTTTTCTGAACATAGTTTTTGAAGTTATTGTTTTTGTTGTTGTTTTTAATTTTCTCATCAATTTTTGACATGATTTTCCCTTTTTAACATTCTCTTTTTTACTTTACAATAAAGCAAACATCCACACTTAAATTTCACCTAATGCATGCTCTCAATTCTTCAAATATTCCTATTTCTTTTTCATTGTCTTTTATTAAAAACTTTTAAAAACAAAAATGAATCAATGATATGTAGACAAAGCAACCCCTAAACAATGTATACTTCCACAATTTGAATTTACCTGCTCCTTCATCCCCAAGCATGTGACCCCAGCCACCACAACGCTTCACAGTGCCATTTGGATTAAGGAGTAACGCATTGGAGCCTGTGCCAGCAATTAAAACCATGCCACCTGACAAAATTAAAAAGAAAAATAAGTAAACAATAACAAACAATTTAAGATGGAATATATTGAAAAAATGTTACCATGTTCATGAGCAGCAGCAATTGATCCTACAGTATCACTGCAAACTACATAATTATTACTCAGATTTGGGTACTTAGATTGCAAACCATCTTTCAATTGGTTGTTGGTTTCTTCTTGCTCACAACCACTCAAACTCATACCCTGTAAATAATGTACAGTAAAGTGATTAGGAGTGAAAAATTTCATATCTATTTTTGGATTTAAATGAATTTTTTAAATTATCAGTTTCATTATTTTATTATTTCATTATCAGTTTCATTCTCATTTTAGCACTATGAAAGAATTTCAAATTAATGTATTTTCACAAATTGATATTTTTCAACTTACTAATGCTGTGAGAGGAGAATTCAAAGGAATATTTGCCTCCCTCTTGGCATCTTCAACCATTTTATTTATTCTTAGCTGACATTCAGATATTCCTAAAATCTGAAGAAGAAAGAAAATAAATACCACCATTACACACATGTAATTTTTTTTAAATTTATCTTTTGCCGTTAATATTTATATTACCAGTAATTTGTTTACAATATTGGATTTGTGAGTTGAAGGGCTTTAAATAATTCCCAATAAAGTTTCTCCAAAACTCAAAATTTTTGGATGAAAATGAGCTTTGAAATGCAAATCAAGTCTTATAACTGTAATATAAATACTCGTTTGGATGTTATTTGATGAATACGTGGCACCTATTTGTTTTGAAAAAATTGAGTAGTTTTAAAAAATTGGACTTGGAAGAGGAGAATGGCTCCATACCCTCCCCCATTGATCTACCATTAACAACCAACCGGTTGAAATTCAGAATTAGAATAATATATTCGCCCTCCGTGGAAAGTAGTTCCAATTCATTATAATTATACGTACAAATTATATTCATTATCTGTTAGAACTCACAATTCCATTCTTGGGATTTCGATAACACCTGGCCTGCACCTGTACTATCACGATTTCTTCCGAATGGCCAGTTATACCGAATTACTTCTCGGCGCGCTATTTGAATTTGCGCTTCACGACCACAGCAAGAGTCAGCTGCATTATTCACCAGTTTACTCATTTCCCTTCACTTAGATAGGTTGCTTTAGACGCGATATTAGAGGCAACGCGCCATTCAAAATGGTATCGTTTGGCACGATTAGACAGTTTCTCTGAGGGAGTTTTCGGGCAAAAATCCCAGATTCCTAACATTTAAAATCTCAACATAGGCAATAAGATATTCGTTGTTTTTCTTAATACAATATTTCTTATAAATTGATAATCGCATTAGCACATTCGTATTTTGTATGATTATTAACAACGAACCTTCTAACAACACATTAAGCCCATGGCCATACAATTACTGCAGGGACGTTGAAATAGTAAAAGTTTTGAATTTATATTTTTAGCCATTGCTATAAAATTATTGAAATCGATGTCTCATTGCTACAGAAATGTATCCTCGAGATTAATCCAGAATATTATTTAATATATATATATATATATATATATATATATATATATATTATATATAAATGACGTGGGCATATCAACCTTCACACATTTTTACTCGTTTTTGGAATGCTAAAGTACAACTTCAAACTTGATGCATCCCCCGTCACTCGCAATTTCTCGTATTCACTGCCACTCGCTTAAATCACTATCACAGAAATTTCATTTATGTCTCGTATTGTATAAAAAAATCCTAAGTTTTCTCGTAAGTAGTTTCGAATTTGGGAGGCATCGCAATACAGCTTTCTTTAGAATGGCGTTGGAAATTCCTCCAAGTCTGTAAGCAATCGACAACCAAAGCATTCAACTTACACGATCATACTCCATGACGAGGCTTTGCCATAGGACGTAATGTGTACCTCCGTCCAAGTCATAATTACAAAAAGTTTATTTTGACTTTTTAAAATGGTACTTCTTCTAAAATAACAAAAAATGCAGGAAATGCGACTTGTATCTTGTACATTAAAGACTTGACCGGACAACGGAATTTTAGCGCCACGCGTAAGGTAGCGACGTTATGTACTAACAGTCACAGTTGCTGTGTTCGGCGAATGTTCGCTCCCTTTGATGTATGCTAAAGACCTACTCGCTGTGAGTAGGGCGAATATAGAACGTTCGGCGCTCGGCGAATCGCAAGCAACCCGTCCACACTACTTGGGATTTGGCGAGCGGTTACTCGGGATTCGCCGAAAGTCGCATGCGCGGAGCCGCCTTAACACCGTAAATAGCGCACGCCAATAGCGTCGCTATGGTCATTTTACAAGCGGCAAAATGGCCACCTTAAAACTAGGGAGGTTGATTTTTTTCAACTCTGATAAACCGATTCTGGTATGCGATGCAGTTGCAATTATTCCTGACCAAATCCACAACATTGGCAAGAATTAACGGAAAATGTTGGAAGGGTGTCAGGTCAGAAATGGAGTTGAAATCATATCTTCGAGGTTAGATTATGTCTAATGCTCATAATGAACGCCTTTACATTCCATACATTCTCAAGAAACTCTTTTTTTATATCATCACTATTGTTACTTTCTTACTGTACTTTTTTGTCTGGGTTCACTTTATTATACTATCATACATTTATCTAATATATCCCTGACGAAAATGAATACTGAAACATTGGCTTAAACAAATAACATAAAAATCCCATGATGCATTGTCAAGTGATACAAACTGGTATATATCGAGGTCAGGAAAACTGTAGGTTACACAAGTTAATTTTGTATTGATTTTACTATCATTATTGTTAAAATATTGCATTAATGAATGTGTAATTCAAACCTTAAAATGCCAATATCACCGAAGAAGGAAGAAAAAAACATCTTAACGTTAATTTTATTTGTTACGTCAGTATTTCAGAACATTGTAGAATTAGTAATAAATCTAATGTAATTTCACTCTGAATTTGTTAACATAGTCTGTTACAAGGCTCGTTTGGTTTCTTAAATTAAATGTGAAAGAAAATAGAATAATATTTACCAGCAAATTAATTTTATTAATGGCGTTCTTATGTAAAATAAAGAAAGATTTTGTGAGATTATAAAGCACAACTCTGATGATAAGCATACCCAATGATTTGTCCCAGGACCGCCGCATTGAACCAACTTTTCTCCTTTTCCATTAAACAGAACCACCTTCGAGTGAGTTGCACCTCTGAAACAAAGATTAATTGTACTGTATTATCAAGGGGAAAAAATATTACACACAACTTTATGTCAACCAGAGGAAGGTTTTCTTCACTATTCACACCCGAGGAGGGAATCATTTATAAATAGTGTTTTGTCACGAGTTCTCATTGCCAATAGCACTTCCTGTACAAGCAGCTCTGATTGCCTACTAGTGAATCATAATATGATGTACAGGCATGTACAGGAAGTGCTATTGGCAATGAGAACACGTGACAAAACACACTTTATAAGTGATCCCCTAAAGTAGAATTGAGTAAATATTATACAAGTTTTTGAGTGTGCAATGATTTGTGTCTATGAATACTTTAGAACAACACAAAAATCATAATTTTCTATTTTCAATCAAAAGATTAATGGCAATATGTTTTATTATTTAAAATGAAAAAAAAGTGTCCTTAATACATTGTATGATTCTTTTGATACATTCGCTAACGCAGTTCCTTTGTGCATGTACTGCGAATGTACGTAATTGTTACCTACAAAACTTAACTTTCAATGTGATATTTTACACATTCATTTCAACTTCACCCCATGAATCCTAACTATATTTTTGTCCTACGAATATTGTCCTCGAATATTGTTGCTTAAATTCTAGTTCTAGCTAAAATTAGGCAGAAATATATTAGGTAGATTACAGATGAAAATGTCTTTCAAGTCGTTATTCCGGTTTTTCACTTAATCTAACATCTTGAGAAGTGAAGAAAACTTTTTTATATTAAACTACTAGAAAAGAAATTTATCAAATCTATTAGAATTTTAGAAGTACTTTAAAATTTGAATCTATGAAAGTATTTGGTATGAACACTGGGATATGAGCTAAGCATAATAGTGAATTGAAAATATTCACTACTGAGACGATCCAGACGGACTCATCAGAAATATTAATTTCGATTGTTTTTAATTGACTTGAAAGCGACAAGTTGTGAGAAACAAATGACGAAATTCGAAAAGAGTAGTGTGTGTTTATTGATTTATTACACCGGGGAAGAGGAACTGTGAGATATCACAGACAGACCGGGATAAATAAATAAAGAAGAGGGGGTTAGGGTGGTGAATATTCATAAGGAGATTAAGTTTTTAGATGAAAATTAAAAAGAACCACAACTTTTCAAAAACAATCGAAAACTACGAAACGAAAACTCTCATGTAAGTAGGTGTCAAAATAAGCTGAGCGGGACTACAAAATAATAATAATAAACAGAAATAACCAAAAAGAATAAATTAATTACGGAAGGGATTCTGATCGATGACCAGTAATATTTAAAAAGAAAATCTAATTACATTCGATTACAAAGTAATTGACAAACGAGGGAGACGGCAATTGATTTTTGAAGTTGAGGAAAGGAACAGCAACACAACACAGAACGAGGTGAGACTTGGTGTGGGCCGCATGGTGGATGGAGGCCGTATATTTGATTTTACTTTCATAAATGTAATGCAATCCTTACGCGTGACGTTAAAGGACAATACGTTGAACAAGTGGAAACACGAGAATGGACATTAAATGAATTTTTAAATGGAAAGATGGTAATTCCGGAGGTCGACAGAGCACGTGTTGCTTTCCTGCGACGTCCGAAATGGAAGTGAACATTTAATTTTTTTCAACATCGTAATATGACAAGGCCAAAAATGTTTTCTAGCAGTATATAGAATATTACTAAATCGGAAGAGTAAAATGGCCATAGAGAAGGAATGCGCGCACGTGTGAATGATTTTCCCCCTTTGTGTTTCATGTAAGAATTTGTTGTAGTATTGTGTTTTCGAAGAAAGGGCACTAACATTGAGTTGTGTTGCTATTTCCCTTTAATTTGTTATGCGATAGCAATTTGATGTGGTTGTGGATAAGTTAATAGTTTCGAGGCAGGAATAAATGGAATTGTACCGGTGATTACGGCGACAACGATACATTTGGAAAATTTTGGTGTTTCATTTCGGTATTGAGCAAGAGGCGAAAACTATGTTTCCAATTCTCAAATCGATGATACATATCCCGTTTCCGGGGGCGGCTACGCGAACTCGTACTCAAAAATAAATTTCACTAGAAACGGTGGATTAGTTCTAAGACGTAGGGAAATATTATTTATAACTCAGATATCAGTTAGCATTATTTTTTGTTTATTAAGTTACTATCAGAAAAAGTAAACAGTCCCAGTTTGCTTTCCAAGAGTGGGGCGAAATATTTTTTCTATCAGCAAATGATTATAATTAATTACGTGAGTGAAATAGAATGGTTACACTACACTTCTAAAAATATATGTTTTCATCTTTTTTATTTTAATGGGAAACGAAGTTAGAAGAAATTTAAATACACTTTCTCTCTAGCAATCTAATTTATCGTTAATTCCCTTCACTTCGATATCACGTTATGCCTTACGTTCTTTCTCCAAAGAAACGACCTTCAAATGTAATCCGAGCCAGACCTAACACTACTTTGGGAGAAACATATTAATGGGACACCTCAGGCTGGTGCTTTGTTTCCGTGCTCTGCTTTCGTGCCAAATTCGTAAACAACCTGATGCCGCAGATGCTCTATTCCCATCGCTTGATTAGATACATGCCGCCTCTGAGAATATTGATCCGGCGAAGATAAACGAAACGCAAGCAGAAACTCCGACCTCAATGATCAAATTGTTTTAGGCAAAATAGAAGGAGGCAAATTATGACTAACAATTCTGCAAGTGTGGCAAGTGGATATGCAGAGTCTTACCTTATTTACGAATCATGTGTAATTAAAAACTCTAAAATATTTCTTAACATTCAAAACTGACATTCGATATCGTAATATGTTACATCAATCAACTGATCTTGATCATATCTTCCATTTACTACAAATCCATTCACTAGATATGTCTTTGAAATATCAGTATGATTACAAAGTTTGTGATCATCTGTGTGATTGTCACAGATTGAAGACCAAGCGGTAGACGTAGTATGCGAACCGTGAAAGTCCAAATTTGAAGAGCTGTGACTGCTATTATTTCATAATCAACGTCTTTATCAGTGCTTCTCACTGAATTACTCACAATACCTCGCGCCTGCTACTCTTATCTGACATTTCGGCTTTCTTAAGCAAAAAGTTTGACGCGTTTTATTAAATATGTCTTAGGTACGGGATAACGAAGTGTAATACTGAAGCTGTACAGATTTGTCGCGGCCCCTTTCTTTAGAAGATTTTTCAAAAAACGACTACATAAATTTGTTCGATTATTCTAAACTGAGTACTAAATGACTTTAATATCTTTGAGTATTATTTTAACTATTTATTCGCTGAAAAAGACTTTGCCGATTCAAGAGTCTTAATATTAAAAATAAATTTAATCAATGACAGTACAACTCAAAGTACAAACTATCTCAATAATGCAGCAGCAGCAGCAATACTTAAATAATAATTTCAAAAAAACAATACAATAAAATAATAAAGCAAAGTATAATAATAATAATAATAATAATAATAATAATAATAATAACAATGATAATGCATAGTTTGGTGTATGCCTCAATTTTCGAACGAGATGATTATATCACAGAAAGTGCGTTAGCACATTAGGAGATAAAATATATGATTAAGAGGTAATCGCAAAAAGTCGTGATAAATTGGTTACAGAACGCTCTCGTTATGATACTGTAAGGGCTTCGAAAGGTCAGTTATCGTGTGAGAACAGAGAGTGAATATCAATAGATACTCTGAGTGAAAATAAGCATTTGCGAAGCATTATCAGTCTACTCATACATTTGATCCCATCGAAGAGAACACTTCAGCAATCGCTTAGATTAAAACCAGTACCTGTATACCAATTCTGGACAAGTTTTAGAACGTATCACATGAATATTTCGAAGCACCATGCTTAACCTGCGGATACAAAATCATCAGCAGTCTAAACAGTTTAGGTGCGCTTTTGATGCCAAATTCTCCCTCCTTGCTTGTAGAATTCTCCATTCTGTATTAACCATCGTTGCAACCTACTAAAAACTCTACTAACGAATAACTAACTCTACTAACTACTTGAATATATCAAAGAATATATTCAAGCCAAATATCGAGAATGGTACATATCTACCGTAGAAAAAAGGTTATGTTATTTGTTTACGTAGATTTTATTTTAGAAATAGCTTAACCATCCTCTTTTGCAAGATGATTAGTTTCAAGTGGTAAAAGCACCACCACCTTCTCAATTTACAAGTGTTTTTATGTTATTTTGCTGAGAAATGCATCGTTACTGCCCAGACGTTTCTTGACGATTTCTTTTCTTCTAGGAAGGACCAAAACGTCAAGAACGTTTTACTTATAGTCATTCGAAGCTCTAATTATTAAAACAGATCTTGGTATTGTCGAAGAAATCTATATCTTTTATTTATACACACTATGAAAATGCAAACTTGTGGAGTTTACGGAATTTGGTTGCAAATTACTACCTGTATTGCGCGCGGCCCTGGGATCGCACCCGATTTTAGGCCTTCAGAAACTTAGCCCATCAATAGGCCGTTTGAATTGCAGCGGACTCGCTTTCCGCAAATGATCCTAATGACCTCCTCAGTCTACAACAGCACAACGCACGACGTGTCAACAGTACAAAGTTTCTGTGACATACGGGCTGCAATGAAGTTGGAAAATTATAAAAAAAAATAATCTTTTACACGAATCTGTGCCTCAGAGATCCAAGAGATGTAATAATTATTTTTTTCCTTCTTTGTTCCCCCTTTCGAACGCACTTGACATGGAAGCGCAGTTACTCCGTTTGGCAACGTCTTGCATCTTTACACTAATGCAAGGTTAACAAGATGGGCGTGGCTTTGGCGTACTATAATCCTAACGGTGTTCAGTGAGTTTAAGATGAAATGACCTTTTCTTGCAATATAGATCAGATACCGGAGGCATTAATAAGCGACTTTATCATCAGTTTTTTTAAATAGGTCATGAGGATCACACTAGTGCGTTTTACCACATTGAAACGACTCTTCCTACAT